TGATGGGCCATAATAATCATATACAGTGTATATTGACAAAATAAAAAAAAAAATAAATAAAAAATAAAAAATAAAAAATAAAAATCCTGTAGCTAACACCATAATAAAGAGCTTAATAGCTTTCCCCTAAGATCAGAAACAAGACAATGATTCCTCTCTCACAACTTTTATTCACCTATTAGAACAAATAAATGAGTTCAGTAACATTTCAGGATCAAGATCAATGTACAAAATATATTGTATTTCTATACACTGCGATAAACAATGCAAATGTGAAATTTAAAAAATACTTTCATTTACAATAGCATCAAAAATAATAAAAATTCCATTTATTATAGCATAAAAAATAATAAAGTACTTTGAAATTAATTGAACAAAAATGCAAAACCTATACTGTGAAAACTATTGTTGAAATAAATTAAAAAGGATCTAAATAAATGGAAAAAGCATCCAATGTTCCTGGATCAAAAAATTTAATATTGTTAAAATGGCAATGCTCCTTAAATTGATCGTCAGATTTAATGCATTCCCTACCACAATCCTACTTGGCTTCTTTGTAGAAATTGACAAGATGATTTCAAAATTCATATGGAATTTCAAGGAATCCAAAATAGGCAAAAAAAATCTTCAAAAGACACTATACTTTGCGATTTCAATACTTATCACAAAGCTCTAATGAGGGCGATGTTGGACTGGCATAAGGACAGACATAAAGATCAATAGAATGTAAATGATAGTCCAGAAATAAGCCCATGTGTCTATGACTCACTGAATTTTGAGAAAGATGTCAGGATCATTGATTGGAAAAATATATTCTTCTCATCAAATACTGAAACAGTTTCTGGGACAACTGGATAGACACATGCAAAGTAATAAAGCTGGACCCTTACCTCACATTGCATACAAAATCTAACTCAAAATGGATCAAAGTCCTAAACATAAACACTAAAACTATACAACAATTAAAAGAACACCAAGCACGTAAATCTTCATGACCTCAGGTTTGATTTTTAGATTTGATGACCAAGGAACAAGCAATAAAATGAAAATGCATAAATTGTACATATCAAAATTTGAAATTTTGTGCTTCAAAGGACAGTATCAAAGTGAAAAGACACCTATAGAGTAGGAGAAAAATTTTGCAGATCATGTCTGATAAGGGACTTTTTTCAAGAATATGAAAAGAACTCTTACAACTAAATAACAAAAAGACAAACAATTCAGCTATACATGGACAAAGGACTTCAACACACATTTACCTAAAAATGTGATTAAAATGGCCAACATTGTTCAATATCACTAGCCTTTACAGAAGTACGAATCAAAACCACAATGAGATACCACTTCACACCCACTAGAATGCTATAATCAAAAAGATGATAAAAAGCATTATAATCAAAAAGATGATAAAAAGCATTGGCAAAGATGTGGAGAAATTGGAACTCTATTACCATCCTGGTGAAAATGTAAAATGGCTCAGCTATTGTGGAAAACAGTTTGGCAGTTTCTTAATAAGTTAAATGTAGAATTACTACATAACAAAGCAATTCCACTCCTGAGCATATACCCAAAGGAATTGAAAACAGGTGTTTAAACAAACTTGTACATGAATGTTTAGAGAAGCACTATTCACAATAGCCAAAAGGTGGAAACAACCCAAATGTCCATCAACTAATGAATGGATAACAAAATGTGGTATGTCTATACAATGGAATATTATTTGGCCATAAATAGAAATGAAATACTGATACATGCTTCAGCATGAATGAACCTTGAAGACATAATGACAAATGGAAGAAGCCAGTCACAAAAGACCATATATTTTATGCTTTCATTTATATAAAGTGTCCACAATGGGCAAATCTGTACAGAGAGAGAGTAGATTAGTGGTTGCTTAGGATGAGGAGGGTTGGAGGGAGTGATAGTTAAAAGGTACATGGCTTCTGAGTGGACAAAAATATTCTAAAATCGACAATGGTGATGGTTGCACAAATCTTTGAATGTACTAAAAACCATTCAATGGTAAATTTTAAAAGGAGGTGAATTATATGATATGTGAATTATATCTCAATAAAGCTGTTTTTTTTAAGTGAGAGAGAANTCTAGGACAACTGGATAGACACATGCAAAATAATGAGGCTGGACCCTTACCTCACATTGCATACAAAATCTAACACAAAATGGATCAAAGACCTAAACATAAACACAAAGACTATACAACAATTAAAAGAAAACCAAGCATGTAAATCTTCATGACCTCAGGTTTGATTTTTAGATTTGATGACCAAGGAACAAACAATAACTAGAAAATGCATAAATTGCACTTATCAAAATTTAAAAGTTTGTTCTTTAAAGGACACTATCAAAGTGAAAAGACACCTATAGAATAGGAGAAAAATGTTGCAGATCATATGTCTGATAAGGGACTTGTTTCAAGAGTATATGAAGAACTCTTACAACTAAATAACAAAAGGACAAATAATTCAGCTATACATGGGCAAAGGTCTTCAACAGACATTTATCTAAAAATGTTATAAAAATGGCCAACATTGTTCAATATCACTAGCCTTTACAGAGGTATGAATCAATACCACTTCACACCCACTAGAATGCTATAATCAAAAAGATGATAAAAAGCATTGGCAAAGATGTGGAGAAACTGGAACTCTAATACACTCCTGGTGGAAATGTAAGATGGCTCAGCTATTGTGGAAAAGTTTGGCAGTTTCTTAATAAGTCAAATGTAGAATTACTACATAACAAAGCAATTCCACTCCTGAGCATATACCCAAAAGAATTGAAAACAGGTGTTTAAACAAACTTGTACATTAATGTTTAGAGGAGCACTATTCACAATAGCCAAAAGGTGGAAACAACCCAAATGTCCATCAACTGATGAATACATAAGCAAAATGTGGTATGTCTACACAATGGAATATTATTTGGCCATAAATAGAAATGAAATACTGATACATGCTTCAGCATGAATGAACCTTGAAGACATAATGACAAATGGAAGAAGCCAGTCACAAAAGACCATATATTTTATGCTTTCATTAATATAAAGTGTCCACAATGGGCAAATCTGTACAGAGAGAGAGTAGATTAGTGGTTGCTTAGGGTGAGGAGGGTTGAAGGAAGGGATAGTTAAAAGGTACATGGCTTCTGAGTTGACAAAAATACTCTAAAATCGACAATGGTGATGGTTGCACAAATCTTTGAATGTACTAAAAACCATTGAATGGTAAATTTTAAAAGTAAGTGAATTATATGATATGTGAATTATATCTCAATAAAGCTGTTTTTTTAAAAGTGAGAGAGAAATCATAGTCCACATACCGATTAATAAAAAAAAGGGATCAAAGAAATTTAATCTAAAGAGCTTCTTTGTTTTTTCCACAAAGGGATCTTGCGGGTTGTTGAGGGAATCAATGTTTATCCCAAATGACGTGCCAGTGATCACATCCATGCTGTAGGCCCCGAAGATGCTGAGGAGAGAAGACCGTGATAATTAAAATCGCCACCTCTTTTCCATCCTTTTACTGCATATGCAGCAAGAAGTATGTGGAAATTTATATGCCGGCAAGACAGGCAAAGTCCTGTACACTTTCAGATCTGCTCGATCATGTGAAGAGTCTATGCTCTTGTCACACTCACTCATGAGGCATTTTTGGGGGGCCAGTGATGTAGCTGGCCCTGTGCTAGGGGTGACAGGAACAATAAGATGAGCTAGACTCACCTCTGAGCTCAAGGAGCTTAGTCACAGAGCGAAACAGACCCATAATCAGACAAATTACAGTAGCGTGTGTTGAGTGGGAATGACGATTCATGTGCAAGCACCACACTGTTCAGCAGGACAAGAGTAGAATAATTAACTCTTCCTAGGGGACTCAAGAAAGGTGACATCGGCTGGGTCTTACCTCACCACAGTCTATGCCCAGAACTGATTTCTCCTCAGCACGTTACAGAACAGCATCATTCCGATCTGAGTGACCAGAAACACAATCTCTCCTACTCTACACTTCCTGTTAAAGCTACTGAAAGACCCATTCTTCCCCAACCACAGGCATCTGAGGATGCCCTGAGGGCAGAATCATTTCTGTAAAATGTAAGAACTAAGAATATTCCTGGTTTAAAAAAAAGTTTTAAATCACTCCAAAATGGATTTGGGGGATCCCATAGCTAAGAGACCACATGTCCCCAGTTTGCCCAGATCAGTCTTGGTTTACAGCTGTATTTCCTGCATAGTTCAAAAATATCTTAGCTTAGACAATAAGTGATATGGTTTCCCTACCCAAAGCCTTTAAAGATCCTTCTCTCTTTTGAGCATGGAGGAAGGAGAAGTGGTGGGAAGATTTAATATTTAGTATTTTGTTGGTATCCTCAGCAAAGCCATGAAGGGATTTAAGTTGTTCTAAGTTCCACATTGTAACTTTCCTGCCCCACCGCCTGCCTGCCAATATACCAAGTGCCTTCTGCTCCCCCCATTCCATACCCTCAACACTCCAAACTTTGGTATGGTCATGTTTCTTCTTTCTAAACTATGTATTTCCTCTTCCAGAATATATGAGCTGACAATGAAGTCCTGGCTCCTGTATACAGAGGAGAAGACCCTTTCTCCCCCTGGCTGCCCTGCCTTCTCTTGTGAGCCATCCCTTCTAGGGTGGCCCACTGGAGTTGTAACACCACACACCTGCTTTTGTCTGTTCACTGAACAAATTCCACAGTGGGGATTTCACCTCTGTGGCACGCAGCTGGAGGGTTTTGTGGCACAGTTCAGAAGCCCAGAAGCTGCACTCCTACTTACTCTTTCAGGGTGACAGGCTTGCCTTTCTCTGCTTCCCGTCTCAGGTTTTTCACCAACACATCGCCATATTTGCCAATGATGGGAAACATCTAAGTACAAAACATAACCCATAGTTAACATAAACATAACCCATACCACACAGTTAAATGGAGACTCTCAAGTCCCCAAAGGACATGGCTGTCCAAAGCATGGAACAGTTAGTGACATTTTATAATAAATTATATAATGTTCCTTCTGAGACATAAGATAAAAGACCATTTTTAGGAAGCTCAAACTCAGGGGACTACTCATTGGAAATGGACAATTTACTTTCTACCTGTCCCCAGTCATTCCTTATGTTTCTAACTAAAAGTCCTCTCATTTCATTACCTCCTTGAGTTTCCCGCTGGTGAAGGTTGGAGACAGCAACGTTCTCATTCTCTTCCATTCTTCATCCTCAGATATGGAGACAGCACTTTTCATAAATCCCACTGGACCAAACGGCTAAAGTCCAAAGCAAAAGACATTTTTCCCTACGTGAGTCTGGGAGGTCTCCACAGATGTAGAAAATTTGTCAAATGCTTATTTAACAGATATTTAGTGACTGGCTACTAGCTGGCAGGTCCTGTGCTGAATGCTCAATAAAGTACTCTCTTCTTTTAAAGCCCTCAGAACCACGCCCCTGACCACCATTTCTAATCCATTCACTACTGCAGGGTCCTACCATCCAATCACCTCTTCAAGGCTCCACCTTTCAATTACCATAATAAGGTCTCACACCCTCTTAACAGTCACAGTGGGGACTAAGTTTCTAATACACAAAACTTGGGGAGGGCTGGCCACTGGCTCTCTTGGGAGGGTGTGGTGCTGATAACACCAAAGCCAAGGGTTCAGATCCCTATGTAGGGATGGACAGTTAGTTCACTTGGAAGAGCGTGGTGCTGACAACACCAAATGAAGGGTTAAGATCCCCTTACTGGTCATCTAAAAAAAAATTGGGGGGGACATAATTCAAGCTTCAGGGAGTTTTGGGGGGGACACAATTCAATCCACTATAAATACTGTATATGAAAAACTAGAAAGGTTCCTATTTTCAGGTGATACAATTGTTGGTGTGGAAAAATCTCAAGGGATATATAAAAAAAACCTCTAAAAATCATAAGTGATTTCAGCAAAGTTGTAGGATACTTGATTAATACACAAATATCAACCACATTTCTATGTAACAACAATCAATATGTGATAACAGAAAAAACACAATACAAAAAAATTGAACCTTGACCTAAACCTCATACCACACACAAAAATGAACACAAAATGGATCATAGACTTAAACGCATAAAACTATATAGCTTTTAGGGAAAAACAACAACAACATAGGAGGGCTAGAAGAAAAACTTTTAGATTGACAATCTATAAAAGCACAATCCGTAAAGGGAAAATTGATAAGGTTGCCTCCTGAAAATAAAAACAAGTTTTTTTCTGATACGGAGCCTTTTAAGAGGAAAAGACAAGCTACATATTGTGAGTATAAGAGGCAAGAGGGAGCCTCATGGTGATGGAATAGTTCTGTATCTTGATTGTGCTGGTAGTTACACGAATCTACATATGATAAGTCTGCATACAGCTACACACACCCATGCACACACACAGATGAAAGAAGGCATATAAAACTGCACAAATCTGAATAATCTCAGTGGATGGTATCAAGGTCAATTTCCTGTGAATATAACAACAGGATATACTTTACAGTGACACAAGACATTATGCAAGATGTTACCATCAGGGAAACAGGAAAAAGTGTGCAGGAAACCTCGCTGTACATTTTTTTGGCAACTTCCTGTGAGTCTGTAAGTATTTCAAAAAATATATATATTTCAATTTTAAAAATGGATGCCTACCCGCCGATTTGTGAAGAAAGAATAACATTCTTTCACCAGCACTGTTTTGATCATGTCTGTATCCGTGATAGCCAACAGAGGCCGTCGACCGTCATATAACCTGTGTTGGGAAAACAGAGCTGATTAAACCTCACAAGCCAGATTCTGCAGCTGGAGCCACGCCCAGGAATGCAGACTTTGACCCTGACATATTAACACAATCTATACCCTGAGCTATATTGGGGTATCTATACCCTTAGCTACATAGCAATGGTAGCTCCTAGTTCAAGTTAGGGTATAACACACAGCCAGAATCTGTCCACGGAAACCACTTGAGCTTTCATAGAATGGAAGGTAATGCAGCTCAAACAGGGAAGAGACAATTAAAGAGAAAATGGCTCTTCAAAGAAAAAAATAATTCTTCAAAAATTAGAACCTTTGTTAATTGTAGGTGGTTCATACATGGGCATTTTCTATACCATTCCCTATAATATTTTGTATGTTTAAAATATTTCGTTGCCAACAAGGATATTAGGTCAGTGAAATATCAAAGGCAAGTGCATTATCAAGTGCTCACAAGAAGTGTGAAGGTTGCAAGGGGCAGTTGGAGTTGGGCCAGTGGAGATCCAGAGCTGTG